ACTCTCCTATCACCACAGCTGCAGCTTGACATGGTGGTGGAGCAGGAGGTCATCCCTGGCTACCTGCTGACTGTGCATCACCCTAGCACAACACCACCTGTTACTCATCAATGTCTACACAGCCACTGATGGCCAGGAGAGGGCCATTTTTTTCAAGACCTTGGCCACCCTCCTGCCTGACCCTAGTGAGGATGATGACCAGCTCCTCACAGGCAGGGACTTAAACTGCACCATTGATGCCTTGCTTGACTGCACGAGGCTTGAACCTCACCTGCTGTCAGCCCACAAACTGCAGTCTGCCCTGGAGACCATGGACCTTGTTGATGTCTGGAGAGCCTTCCATCCCGATGTGTGCCAGTACATCTGGGCCAGGAAGAGCTCTGGTGGTCTTACCTTGGCCCACCTTGACCACCTTTCTGTCACCAAGCACCATCTGCCACTCCTATGCAGCGGCCACATTGTTCCCTCAGGCCTGTCAGATCATAGCCTGGCCTGCTGTGAACTGAGCCTGAGCAGCTGAGACTGTGTGCAGGCACCTTATTGGTACTTCAGCATCAGCCTGCTCCAAGACTCCTACTTCCAGGACTGCTTTGCCCACTTTTGGTGGGGCTGGGAGGCCTCAAGACTGACCTACTCCTCCTGGAAGCTATGGTGGGACATGGGCAAAGTACAGATCTGGGCCTCTTGCCAGAAATACACCCAGCTGGCAATGAATAAACTGCACCGCCATATTTGAGAGCTGGAGGAACATGTGGTAGAGCTCAAGGCCACCTTGCTGGCCACTGGCAGTAAATGGTGCTGCATGAGAGCCTCCAGTTCCACAGGAAATGCCTGCGTGACTTGGCAGAGAGTGCAGCCCATGGAGTGAGGATCCACACCCACTACCAAGAGCTGGCAGAAGCTGATGCCCCAACCCACTTCTTCTTTGACCTGGAGTGGCGGCAGGCAGTGAGCGAAGTCTTAGATCACCTCAAGACCCCTGAGGGCTGGGTAATCATGGCCCTGGGTGAAGTGCGTGAGCACGGTGTTGCCTTCTATTGTGACTGTTTGCAGCCGAGCCATTCTGCTCCGAGGTCACACGGGAACTCCATGAGGGTCTGCCATGTCTCTGTGCCCTGGAAGTCAGTGAGCTGGAGTGGGAACTGTCTCTGGAGGAGCTGGCAGTTGCCACAGCCATCCTCACTTCCGGCAAAGTCCCAGGCCTTGATGGGTTACCTGCCGAGTTCCACAAGACCTTCTGGCCTCTCCTAGGCCCCCACCTCGGCCTTTGGATTTTGGCCCCTCTTCACCGGAGCCCTCTGGGTCTTGTACCAAGACATGTCCAGCCTGCTTAAGGTGAATGGCATGCTCTGCATCCCATTCCCTGTGTGCAGGAGCATCTGTCAGGGCTACCCCCTGTTAGGCATGGTCTATGCCCTGACTGTTAAGCTGCTGCTGCATGTGCTGTGGTGCTGCCTGAGTGGTGTGGCCTTGCCATCAGCCGTGGGTCCATCCATTGGCTCTCCACTTTGGCTATAGGCATATGCGGATGAACGTGACCACCTTCCTCAACACGCAGGAAGATGTGTGGGCCCTGACAGACTGCTAGTGAGCCTATGAGCTTGCCTCCTCAGCCTGTATCAATTGAGCCAAGAGTGATACCCTGCTGCTCAGTGCATGGAGCAGCGCAACCCCCGTGGCTTTGTCAGGGGGCCTCACCTGGCACCGCAAGGGCCTTCAGGTCCTGGGAGTGTTTCTGTGGCTGCTGACCTGCATGGCATACAACTGGGATGGCTTTGAGGAGAAGGTGGAGGCTCACTTGCAATGGTGGTGCTGGTGCCTAACCAGCCTCTCCTACCGTGGACATGTCCTCATCGCCAACAACCTGGTGGCAGCGACCGTGTGGCACTGATGCACTATACTCAACCCACTGCTGGATCTGCTCAAGAGACTCCAGTGCCTTTTGGTAGACTTATTCTGGGATGGGTGCCACTGGCTCCTATGGGCCATCATCTACCTACCTGTCACTGAGGGGAGCCCGAGTCTGGTCGACCTGGTAAGCAAGGTGGCTGCCTTCTACCTGCAAGCCCTTCAGAGACTCCTCTATGGTGAGGAGTGCCTACCCTGACAACAACTGGCATGCTGGTTCCTGCAGAGGGTGGGAGCCCTTGACTTCAACTTGGAGCTCTTTCTGCTGGACCTCATGTTCCTGAACTGGGCAGTGCTTCTGGCCTTCTACCACAGCATGGTATGAGCCTGGAAGGCCACCTTCCACCTCCAGCCCTGCGCCCAGTGCCTGCAGTTCTTGCAGCTGCTGAGGGAGCCCCTGGTGCCCAATGCAGCCCTGTGGTGCTCTGTGCTGAGCCTGGCCCTCACCAGCCTCACAGCCACCTTCATCCAGGTACGTGTCCTCTGCCTGGGCCATCTCCTTGACCCCGCTCAGTCGGCCTGGCTCTTGCCCGAGGCCCTGACCACCCAGCTGGGCATGTGCCCCATCTGCAGCGTGGGCTGTCTCCTGCATGACATCTGGGCTGCCCTTCCATTAGATGCAGCAGCCACCCTGGATGCCCATCTCTGGGCACGCCAGGTCCCCCGTGCTGTGGATGCTCCAAGCGAGACTGTTCCCGTGCTGCCAGTCACCCCAGCTGTGGCTGGCAAGCTGGCCAGGAGCCTCTTGGAGACCACCTATGTGTGCTTCTACCTCTGCTGGGTGGCAAGTGGGGCCTCGTCTGCCTGGCCAACTTTCTACTGGGTCAGGCCAAGATGGCCGTCCTCAAGAGCCACTGCAACTGGCTTGACGGGACCGGCTCAGATGATGCCCTGTGGCTTTTCGGCCTCCTGGTGTGGGTGCGCCTTTTGCCGGAGTTTGAGCACGCTGTGCTCCAGTGGGTGGTGCCCACCTTTAAGGCATGCTGGGCCCTTGAGGGAGCACTGTGCTATGTGGAGGACAGGTGTCTTCAATACGTGCTCTGATGCCATGAACGGTCTGGGTGACTGCGCAGGCTTGGTGTCAGACTGTGATTCCTAGTTTGTGCCATGCCCTGGGCCCTCATCAGGCTGCTTTTTGCTTTTTTTTTTCTTTGTGTGGGAAGTTGAAGGTGTTGTCACATGTATGATTGAATAGAGCAGGGTAGGAATCATTTGTTTATAGAGGGCTTTGGCCTGTAGGACCGTGTGGCCGGTGTCCCAACTTCATAATGGCATGTTAGGCATGACGTGTAATAGAGTGAAGGTGTCTGTCACGGTGTGGTGTTATGAATATAATGGCATGGTGCTCTTGGTTTGATGGTAGTTTGTCTTTGCTTTGTATATTGGACCTGGACCCTGGAGGGGCCAACAATTTGTACCCCAAACCCCTGAATACAGTAGTTAAAAAGTCAAAGCCCTTCTTTCCTTCCTTCCTTCCTTACCTGTCTTATCTTTGTTTGTTGTGGCTTCTACCATGGTTACATCATAGTTGGGAGGGCCTACTGGTGCTTGAACTGAAACTGCTTGTCTTCTTTGGGCTTAGGAAAGAAAATGGTCATGATTGACTGAGTCTTGTCAGCATACTTGCTACTTTACCTCATGAGAACTTTGAGTAGCTACATTGAACAATAATAGTGATAAGCAGTTATGCTGTGGGTTTATATTCAGAATAGGGCATAAGGCTAATAATAAATTACTCATCATTACTAATTAAGCGTAGAGACACAGGGTTACCTTACTTTAAAATGACAAACCTGGGAAAAGGATTATCATGAGCTATTACTCTGAATTCAATTGCTTACTAACAATGGCAGGCCATATTGAAAAATGTAATTGATTCATTTTAATGTTCCTGTCAAATAAGTTGCTTGGTGAAATAGCAATGCTGGAAATATTTGTAGAAGTAGTTGTTCTCTGAAACAGTCAAATTCACTTAATCCATAATGAAAAATATCCAACTAGCTTGAGTGTTTGCAGAAGTCACAACTATTTCTAGGTAATGTTGGCCAATATAGTTTGGTAGTAGGCAAGATCTTACCCTTAGGTTTAAGACCCCAATTCAACAAAGCATTAGGTTTATGTTTATACATGTTCCTTGATGCCAACAAAGCACTTAAGTGTATGAATAGCCAGAATAACTTCAGTGAGCTATCTACATGCTTACAGTTAAATATGCTTGGTATTCTTTTGGACTGGGGCCATACAGATGAGCATTTTATAGGATCAAGCTTCAAAGCACTTACACACATGCCCAAAGTTAATCACATACTTCAGTGCAATGTTGAATAGTGATAGACTTCTGAGTTGATACCTGAAGGCATAAGGCAGATCATTGTTGTCTTTAACATTGACATTGTTATGGGCTGTAGTATCGAGATACATTGGGTCCCAAAGTTTAGACTGGAGAGAGAAGTAGTACTCCTTATATTGCCTTGATTGATATAAGAATAATATTGGAATAAAGACCTTTTTTATTTCTTACCACACTGGCCAGTTAAGAATGTTGACCAATGTGTTCCTGAAAAATTGCAAGGCTTCTCATTGCACCAGGCTTGGGGAGGTAAAAAGTCTCAGGCAGAAGCTAGCATCTAACTCAGTGATTTGCAACCAGGGTGCCATAGTATACTGGTGCCTAGAGATCCTCTCATGTGTGCAGTGGGTTGCCATGCAGTGTTAGTGCTGTGAGGTGTGCAAACATGATTTATAAGCTAAACGCAGAGATTTCAAATAGGAATTCACAGGGTTAAAAACATTCTGATCTGTTTTGGTCTTTACAACAGAAGAACTGTGCTATTATTTTTCTGCAGTCAAACTAAGACCTTACATTTTCTGAGGGGTGTCTTGAGTCTGATGAAGCATGTCTTGAGTCTAAAAAGGTTGAAAACCACTGGTTCAACTAAATTTATTTAATTTATGAGACGATACCAGGTGAGCATCTGTCTAGACCTAATGTATTTTTTAAAATTTTAGATGTTGATCTTAAATATGATGTATTTAACTTGGAAAAATAGGATTATGCTGCTAAAATAATAGTGATTTTTAATATATTACAGGCTGTTCCTTACTACACAAGCTTTGTGACTAGTGTAACTTTGTGGGACAGAGGAGTTTACCACCATGATGTAAGTACCATCATACCACTTTATTTCTTTAAATACTGTTTTGTATTGTGCTACATGACAGAATTTCTTTACTGAGACAGGATTATTGTACATTTAAGAGTTATTTACTCTGAAGAGGGCCCTGTACAGGATCACCTGCAAGGGTGCTCGGTATCTGCCTTTTATATTCCCTGCTTGACCTATGCAGGAAGTAGTCTTCTCTTTCTATGAAACAAAACAGCATTTTCATTTAATTATGGAATGAATGAGACAGTCAAAGTATGTCTCAGAAACCATAGCAATGCACATTTCAGGGGTATGTAGATAGGTAACTCAACCACATTAACAACATCCTAGTAAACAAATGAGCAGACAAGTGTCCGATACTATGCTGAGGGATGTTTTAGACTAACACACAACAGAACCCAACCTAGGTCTATGAGGAATCTGTTAGAAAACAAAGCTTGTTACTTATCTTGGCCTATTGGATGGCAACACAAAAATATTTAATAGGAAGTATAATTTTAGATCCTACCCTTTAATAATACCAGCTGACCATTTAAGTCTTTACGAAGTGAACAAGATTTTTGCAACAGTAATACTCTGCTTGCACAAGGACAGAAACTACACATAAATTGGTTTAAGTGATCAGAAGCTGATTTAAATCTGTAACAGAACAGAAGTTCAGTGTATATAAACCAGTTTTAAAATGGCTGAAACTGGGTTTAACATAAACCTGGTTGAACGTAGCATCCGACTTCACTGATTTGAGTCAAACTGGTTTATGAAACTTTTGTCCCAGACCTCTTCCTGGTTTAAGTTGAATCAGAGTCCCCCAGCATGCTTTTCAGCCCTGTGCTGTGCTGTGCTGTTCTTTCTGCTCCAGAGAGCAGGGCTAGCCCTGCCCCTCTCTTCTCTAGGGGGAGCAAGGGCAGAGGTGTGCCAGATGCTGCTCAGGTATGGCCCCATAAGGTGAAGGTGCAGGGAAGGTCTTTATTCCGTCTCCCTCCCCTCTCCCCCTGGGAGACTCCAGATAGGGTCTTGCTGGCTAGGGTGGAGTGGCCCCTGTCAGGATCCGCCCCCCTTGCCACTCCAGCAGCAGGGGTAGAGACATGGCTAGAGGTGGCTGGCATGGCCTTACCTGGGGCTGGGGCTGGGGCTGGGGCTGGGGCTGGGGCTGGGGCTGGGCCCGGGCCCGCCAGCAGCATGTGGCTGGGCCTGGGGCTGGGGCCATCGGCAGTGCCAGGATGGCCCTGGCCCGGTGCTGGCACTGGGCTGGGGCAAGCCGCGGCAGTGGTGCCAGCTGGGGCTGGGCTCAGGTGTGGCTGGGG